TTGTGTATAAGATATTGTAACACTTTGCTGTCCTATAAGTGTGAGTCCTGGGATACTGTCCTTGAAAGCGTCACGGCCTACTACATCTCCGCCCCTCCCCACCCACCCGGCTTCATCAGGAGGCAAACAAAACCAGTGAGAACTCGGGTTCCGATGAAAATGTCCCCGAGTACGACAGCAGAGAGATGACCTGCCCTCCAGGCCGCCGCTCGGCCCCGCTCCATGGGATGAAGGGAGACAGCACTGTGCTCTACTTATAGAGAGAAGCGGAACTACCGATGCCTGCGAAGAGCATGTTAACGGGGAATTAATGGTGCAGAATCTAATCTGTTCTGTGAGTACACGCTAAGATGTTTCTTCCACCAGGAAAAAGATCAAGAACAGGCCGCTTTCTCTGAGCATCAAATTCCACGTCGTCTGGGGTCATGAGGAGAAGGGTGTTATCGCTTTCTGCGGGAGGATTGTGTTACAGCCACTGATTACTCAGGATGAATGGGCAGTCTCTTCCTTCTCTTTCCTGCTCCACTTTTCATTAGCTTTTTATGTAACTTCCTCCTCTAATTCCCCCCTTTACTGAGATTATTCTTACGCAGAGCATGTCTGACGGCCACATCCATTTCGCTCTCTTGTTGAACTACATGGCACGGATGGATTGATGAGTATCGGACTGACATCCAGCACTCCATTCGCTTCAGGTGCACAGAATCTCTCACTTAGCTCTGCCTTCGTCACGTCGATGGTTCTGCACACTTTCTACCTGTAACAGAGCTATGTGTGCAGTTCTTCTATCTCCCCTTTAGGCCATGCGATCCCTGATGGCAAGGCCTACCTTGTTTTCGACTTTGTATTCTTCTGCATCTACAATACACACACTGCACAGAGCATCCGGTTCATACAAATTCCTGCAAAGCCCTAGATGGTTTGGCTCAGTGGATAGGGTGTCGACCTGTGGAATGAAGGGTCCCAGGTTCATTTCCAGTCAAGGGCACATGCCCGGGTTGCGGGCTCGATCCCCCATAGGGGGCATGCAGGAGGCAGCCGATCCATGATTTTCTTTCATCATTGTTGTTTCTTTCTCTCTCTCTCTCTCTCTCTCTCTGAAATCAATAAAAATATATTTTTAAAAATTCTGCATGAACTAAGTCTCAGTTCTATCAATAGCTCTTACGATTTGCACTATTAAAAACTGGAAAGGCGAGGGAACGGGGTCAGATGGGATCCATCCTGTTGATCTATCCATACTCCCTCCCTTGGATTGAGAGACCCTACAAGTCGTCCATTGCTGTGGTTCTCCACCAATTTCCTAACTCTACATGCCTGATTAAAATCACCCACAGGTGCAACTAGCGCATACCCGGATATGTTATTCTTTCCTCACGAACACTGGGATATGCATGCTGTGGTCTCCCTGGTGTCAACCCACCTTCACCTTACTCTGTTGATATTTGGAAAATGCAGTCAAAGGATGTTAATATAAGTGAATTCTCTCATAGACAAACCAGGAAATCTTATCACAAGTGCAAGTAACTTCTCTAACATCAGCCAGCCAGAAGCAGGAGTGAGATTTACACCCACTAAAGCCTGTCTCTGAGCCATGGCCCTGGAAAGGTGGCCCATGCCCAGGAAGTTGGTCGGGTCGCACCGCTTCCCTCACGTGGGCGCGTGCTTCCAGAGCTTCCAGAAGTGGGTCATGAACTGGCTGCTACTAATTCCAGAGCTCCCAGACGTCCCTCACCCGCCGCGGACATTAGCTGTAGGGCTGCGCACAGCTAGCTGCCCGGCTGTGGGTTACTAATAGGCAACAGTCTCAGCTATTAATTGCTTTGTAGTGGTAATTGCGATGAGCCGATACAAATTATTTTCTTTTCTAATTGGCTCTTACTGGTGAATAGCAGCTTGTTACATAACAGAAAATTGTGTTAAATAACCACAATTACAATTCTGAGGGCTTTCTTTAAGAACAACACCAACACACCACAAATCTAAGCGTTCGGATAAAAACACTAACAGAACGTAGAGCCTCTAGCCTCGCTTGGGAAGCGTTTAGGTTTCAGTTACGGAAAAACAGGAACCGGGGCAGCGTGAGGGAAACCGGGGACAGAGCAGGCTTTTCCTTCCCTTTAAAAACAAACACTTAAAAGCTGGGCTGTGCTGGCCCAGGCAACGCCCAGAGGACAGGCTCCAGTGGACCCCTCCCCCCCTCAGTGTGACGGGGGACAGACAGGGTTCTCCCATCAGCTCTGATCCCACCACCTCCCTGACAGGTCCCCGGGGAAGGCCCCAGCACAGAGCAGATGCACAGTCGCCACCGAACCAACCCAAGTGCCACCACAGCTGGCACTGTCCCAGGAGACGCGACGCGTAACAGTATTTCATACGGGACCTGGCACCAGCTACTGCTCAAGGAATGTGAGCTCCCCCAGCATCATCGTAATGATAACACCTTCCGAGTGTCTCCTCTGAATGGCCTACAAGCCGGTCTGTTCACTTTCACAGGAAAGCTAAAGGATGCCCTGGAGGAGGCCCCTCAGGCCGCACACCAAACCCACTGGACTAGGTTTCTAGGACTCTCTCTCTTCATGACACCCTCTGGCCTGTACCTCGCCAGGCCCCCAACTGGAGGACCCCCAGAGCTTCCTGCTGACTCAGCCGGCGCGCATGCCTGCATGTGGGGAGCTGGGCCTGGGTGTGCGGGGCAGCACAGTGTGGGGGTGGGGGTGACGGGATAGAGACAATGTAAAGAGGCTTTCCCAGCACATAGTTGCAATTCTAGCGCCCAGAGCCGGCAGACAGTCAGTCTGACACCCCCAGATTCCCTGAATGCCCGCAGCCTGCGCAGTTATCCCCACACATTCCCGAGCCTCCCCTGGGCTACCCCACCCTTGACATTGCTCCCCAAGGGCAGAGTCAGAGCAGGCGGTTTTGGAGTCCATCGGGTTATCTTCACACGGAAGGCAGCTAGCATGGATCAGGGCCCCGCTTTGTGACTTTCACTGTCAGTCACTCTGCAACGTATGTATTACATCTCCATTTCCACACGTTAGCAGCACGTGCAATATACGTATGCGACACAGCTACTCAATGCCAGAGCTGAAACTTAAATCGTTTCTCCAGGACGAGGGTCTGCTTCTCTGTCCACTGTCCTGTCAAACAAACGCGCTTAAAAGAGCTGCATTATAAGTTCGTTGAATAAACTTCAAACTGACCTGACCCCTGAGCTGCTGCAGTTGACTATGCGCAGCTCTGATAAGCACCGGTGGATACAAGTAACACACAGCTTGCCCCCAGCAAGCGCACTGTCTACGGGTGGCCACAGCTTCCAAGCAAACCTAGTCCGAGATGTC